GATATTCTTTTCAGGTGTTTAGTGGTAATCAAGACCGAGACAGCATTGTGTACCACAAATTGGCAAGGCAAATTATGGCACGTTACATCCGGTTCATTCCAGTGGAATGGCAAAGTCACATCTCTATGAGAGTGGAAATCTATGGCTGCGCAGGTACATCGTGGTGTATCTTATTGTTGCTGTTGCAGTAGTTGTATTAATTTGTACCTACTTGATATTACTGGTAAACTTAATCTTTCAAAGTGTCATTCGCATTAGCTTTTATAAAATACTTCATTACATAAACGCAATAATGTAACATTAAAGGTTGAAACATTCTATATAAGATATAACAGCTAAAAGAAATGTCCTAATTACAAATTACATGTAGCTGAGAATTAGAACTGATATATAAATTAGGCAATGCATTAAAGGCAGCCAATTTTCTACCAAAGCAAGTTTCAATTAATCACCGATAGTGATCCTAGATTGCCTTGATTTTGCTTTACTTTGCACTGTGATTGGTATGGAAGATTCGCGCCACTTTCTCCGCCACTGAAATGCAGAACTAAAACCAATCCCAACGGGTACATCAGAATCTGCCTCACTGTTACTGTTTCAATAGTGGTAAAGATTGGAACCAAGACTTGTTGGAATCTCTTTCATATTAGTTGTAAACTTAAGAGGGTCATTCGCTCTAGTTTTTATAAAGTGTTTCATGAAGTGAACGTAATAATATAAGCATTAAAAGTTGAAATAATAGTCTGGATAAAAACTGCAGCTAAAAAGTGTACCTCCGTCAAACACAGGTAGTGGAGAACTCGAACAAATACTAGAACTAGCCATTGCAGAAAGGACAGCTCTCTCAGACCACATCTTCGATTACGTCTGTCAATTCTCGACCAGAGCAGATTTCGATTAATTGTATCAAAAAGTGATACTGGATTGCTTTGATTTTGCTCTACTACGCTCTGTGTCATCATCTCAGCCAATCAAATGAAAAACTAAAACAATCTCAACTTAGTCACTGGCGTTTTCCGGCGCGCTTCAAGCAGGCCGCTTGTGCAGTAAATCGGAGATTGGTTAGCTCATTCCAGCAATAGATAGAGAACCCCATTCGCTTTTTCTTACTCTTCTCGCTCTTTCTCTTTTTCTACTTCATTTTCCTTCTTCTTCTTCTCTCTTAATTTTTGTCCTTTTTTTCAAAACAATTCAGGATGCTTTGAACCGCTAGGTATGGAGGATGGAACGATCACTGATGACCAGGTCAGTTCTTCTACGCGAATGGATGACGACCATTCGCCAAGTAAGGCCAGGTTAAATTTTAAAGAAGAAGAAAACAAGGCCGGGGGATGGTCAGCTCAGACAAACGACGAAAACCAATGGCTGCAGGTCGATCTTGGGAGTTATACAAGAGTTACGCGCGTGGCGACTCAAGGGTTGAATGTCAACAACGAGTGGGTGACCAAATACAAGTTACAATTCAGTGACGATGGAAAAAACCTCCAGAATTACAAGCAACAGGGTGACAGCGAATGGACGGTATGTCTTAGTTAGCTGTCACATGCGTGTGATATACAAGAGCGATATCCAAAGCCGCTTTAGGTGACAACTCTTTAATCCATACTGTTTTCAACAGATGCAATAATTTTGAAACATACGTATATTTTTTTACTTTCTTGAAATTTTACCATGACACATACTCTGACTCTGATTACAAATGAAAGGTAAGGGCCTTGAAAAGACAGTGTTTGTCACTTCCGAAGGCCCTTCCAAAAATAGACTTAATCCATGCTGCTCACAATTTACAGGTGCTGAATGGGTATAAAGGAAGTGATGCCATTGTTTATAACAATCTGAATCCTACAATCACAGCAAGGTTCATACGATTTATACCAATCAGTTGGCACAATAAGATTTCCATGAGAACAGAGATCTTTGGCTGTCCAGGTATGGCGATTATTAATCTGGATTTTAGAATCCACTGGCCAAAAAAATGTTACAAAACAAATAACTTGATTGACTGAGAAGCTTGATAGGACTTCAAGATTAGCTGTCAAATTTTAAAAACAGTCTTTCATCCACAGGCATATACCAGCGAGTCAGAAGGATCTCAGCGTCGCAACATCATGTTTCGTACATCATTGATTAGAGAATTTTGAGGGAAATAGAGGGTGAAGTGAGATGAATGCTTTGGATATAATTTAGGTCTTTTATTGAAGTAATTTTGACTGAAATCAACCAATCCTTTTAGTGACTACAGTAGTTTATCAGAGGCCATTATTGAAAGAGAAAGTGAATAAAAGTGTCGTGTAAAGTTTGGATAGTAACTGTATCTAACGCTTATCTCTTAACAACAAATTCAGCATGTATGACTGCTCTTGGAATGGAAAGTCAGGCAATAGAAGATGCTCAGATAAGTGCTTCCTCGCAACTGGATGGAAACCATTCTGCAATACAAGGTAGACTACACCTTACGAGAAACAGTCAAAAGCAAGGTGGCTGGACGGCTCTCACAGATGATCGTAACCAGTGGCTACAGGTGGATCTGAATACTTTTGCGCGGGTAACGGTAGTAGCGACCCAAGGAAGAAACGGATTCAAAGAATGGGTTACCAAATACAGCTTGCAATATAGCGATGATGGTGTGACCTTCACGTTCTACAAGGAATCTGACAGCAACTCCGAAAAGGTGTGGTATCCATTTCACAGGTAAAACCTTACTTGATAGGCTTACCCTATAGGCTATTTAAATCATTATAGAGCAAATTGTTGAAAAATAGATTATTACCATGGACCTCACTTAATTCATTAACGTATTAGGGATGTTTTCCCTTACCCAATACATTCTGCACTACAGATGTGAATGAAATATCAACTATGACGCATCTTGAAAGGAGAAACAGATGGGAGTGTCCTCAAACAATGTTTAAATCCTGGAATATTTCTTTAAAATCTACTTTAATTAAACTTAGGTTTTTGATGGAAACCGAGATTCAGATACTGTCGTATACAACAAACTAACTTCGCCAATAACAGCTCGGTACATACGGCTAATACCAATGACGTGGAATAACCACATCTCGATGAGGATGGATTTATATGGCTGTCCAGGTATTTTGCAATTTTTAAACTAGTGACTATGCCAACATTATCGAACGTAATTGGTTATCAACAGACAGATAAAAGCACTAAGAAAGCAGTTTTGATGTCATGATTGCAACTGGAGGGTATAAAAAGCCTTTTTCGGTGTCCAATGTGTAACTTGGCAGTAAACGTCATTCAAGTGTGCTACCACACTTTATCACACTTTCACACTTTATTTTTCTTTTTCTTACAAAATAATTTAGATTATGTTGACCCGCAAATAGCAAACTTGCTATTCGAGGCGGGTCAATCCTCAACAAACATTATTTACAATATACAAAGAAAATTA